CTGGGGGGCCGAACAAGCAGCCGAGGCTGGACACGTGGATCCAGCAGAGATTGTCAACCGCGAAGGCTCTCTACGAGCAACAGAAGAGGCAAGAGATGAATCTGCCTGTCCCGTTGCCCAATGGGACCCTGGTCGCGCAGAATAGTTACGAGCAGAGGTCGGATAACGGGTACGCGTCGTCCGAGTCCAGGTATCAGCAACCGTCGTACTGTGATAAGAGGAATTACGCGGAGCCTAAGGCCACCCACGCTTCACCGCCCTACGTTCATCCGGTGATCACGAAACCTGCCAACGTTCACTCTGTGCCGCAAGCCGGGCAAACGTCCGTGTACCCGAATTACAGGCAAGGGCAGAAAGGTAGCGGGCCGCCAACAACAGGTGGTGCCACTTCCGGGGGACAGGCCACGACCGAGCCGCCTAGCAACACCGGTGCCGATAAAAGGGTGCTCAGCTTGTTGAGGAACAGCCTGGAGAACAAGCAGCAGAGGGAGGAGCAGATGAACAGTCAGCAACCTATCCTGGCTAATCATAGTCAACAAAGTTTTCAGAATAAGGTATGCGCTCGAGGTAATAGCGTGTATGGGCTTGGAGTTTCCATTTGTTAGCGAGGTTGTTTTTCAGAGTATAAACTTTCGATTAATATTAATTGGAGTAAGTTTGAAAGCTTTCGAGAGTTAAGGGATATTAAGTTACTTCGAGGCGAGGTATGGTTCGGGGGATAAACAGCCTCGTGAAAATATAAAACGATTCTAAGCTTGAAATTCCCGAGAAGTTGGGTAAATCTCGCACAACGAACATATCAAATTTCTTCGTTCGTTCCTTTTTATCTCCTGGGAAATTCTTGTATTTTTATCTCGACGTTTTAACATTTATCTCGATTTTTAACTACTTTTCTTCCGAAATCCTTTCAAAATTTCTTGCATTCAATCTCAACGTCGTCTCGATACATCGATCTCAATTCTTCCCTACAAAATCTGTAATCCAATAACTATTGAACCATCCTCTCGTCTTCCTCGAGAATCATATCCGATAGAATGACGGATGTAACAAGTGACGTTCCAGTGGTGGTCTCAGAGGCGGTGAGAACTGTCCGTTATCGTGCTCTAACGCGTTGTGTTCCCTATTCCCAAAGGTTGTTGCACCGGTCGAGCCCAAAACGAACATAGGAAGGCACAACCTGTCACCGTTCACGGCTGCGAGCTTACTGGAACGAAACAGCAACACGCCGCCCCATTACAAGTTCCATGTGCCGAGAGCGGTAGACTCGATCACTCAGGAGGCCCCCCGTAGTTTGTACGGCTCGAGAGTAAATTCATCCGCCACGCTACCTGGCAAGGAGGCACTCCTGGGACCCCGAGGAGCCGAGAATCAGATTCACCGTGACAAAGACGACGGCCTCGCCGCCATATTGGCAGCGAAAATCAGAACGAAGGCGGAACTGAAACAGGTGAACTCATACGTAATGTATTTAATTCGATTTTCTTTTTCGTTTTTCTTAAATTAATCTTAAATTAATTTTCCTTCGATTCGTACGAGTGGATTGTTAATAAAACAATGTTATTCTTTTTTTTTTGATTTTGATACTTGAAGGTGGGGACCGGCCAATTTGCAACGAAATCGACCAATGTACCCTCTCAGGATGCATCGTCTACTCCAAAAGGTAGAGATTCGAGATTCTGTTGATTTATTGGATTCTGTTGCTTTTCTTTTCCATGAAAATCCAATTTATTTCGTTTTATCTTATCAAAACGATGTTTGTTTTATTTTAATAATTATAAGAGATGTATCTTACAAAGTAACTCTTATTTTTATTATTGAAACTTGTTATTTTATTTTACGCGTCGATGATAATTTAAAAAGAGTAAAAGTAATTAGTCGATGTTTTTTTAAAGAAGAAAATTATCGGAAGTTGAAAGGTTAATATATTTATTCGATCGATACTCTATAAATATTCTTGTATGAAATGTTGATTTTTTTCATTTTTCAAGTTGCTTCGTTAAAATAATTTGTATCGTTTTCGTATAAGTTTTCGTGATAATCTGTCTTGATTTGTAGAAAAGTTGTATTAATTTTTGATTGATGTTAAAATAAACAATAATTTCAAATAGTAATATATACCATTGAATATTAAATTCATTTTATAAAAATGAATCTTCTTGCGATCTTACTTCATCGGATCACACATTACGCATCACTTTAAATATTTTTAAAATCCCAGGGAAAACTTAAAAATTCAAATCCACTTTCAGAACAAGACAGCGCCGCATCAACGTCGACACCTCAATCAGGCTCGTCTGCAGGCAGTCCTCCAAAGTTGACTCGCGAGAAGGTGGCCTGTTTACCGCCCCGAAGACGCTTGTTCTCCAGAACGGAGGAGGAGAACATGCCGGTGGCCGCGACGGTTCCGGTTCCGGCGCCACAACCTGCGATCGCTTCGAGCGTGCCTGCGCGCGCCAGCGGATTCAGAAGTTCGTCCGAGACTTCGGTGTTCGATTTCAGAGAGAGCGATTCCGAAGGCGAGATGCCTGTTCTCGAGCGGCAAACGCTCGAGGAGATGAGGAGGGACAGAAAACAGCTGTCGAAGGTGCAGCCACCCGTTCCACTGAACGATGCCATGTGCATTGGCATGACCTCATCGTCGGATCTCGTGAAAATAGAATTGAAGGTAACGTTATTTGCGCATGGATGTTTCTCCCGTGATTCGTTTGGTCGAACAGCCTTGAAAAACAATGATTGTTTAATCGGATTTAGATCATCTTGAACGATTCATAAAATTGTTTGAAAAGGAAATATCACTTCTGTTAGAATATAATGTTTCAGTATATCTCTTTGTAGTGTGAAATAAATTGTAACAATTCTAAAATTAATTGTAAAAATTAATTTCAGATATAATATTGTATCAGTCTGAAAAAGATTAATCTCCTTGGAATACAAAAATAAAATGAAATCAATAGATTTCATTTGTACAAATTATTTCTATAAAATGAATGATGTAATTTTAAATGTAGCAATTCAAATATAGCAATGAATAATTTATATATATATATATAGAAGAGAATATATATATATATTGAAGAGCAAAGTATTTTTCAATGTAATTAGAAAATTACAATGAAAATTATTCTTAATATCAATATAAATTCTATAATTCTTGATGTCATTTCTCATTTATGTATCTAATTTATATTTTCTTTGTCACGAATATTTTTACTCGATGCAACAATTGCATTAGATTCATCCGTTTACCGTTTTCAGGAGAACGACAAGATCACCGAAGTAGACACGTTTTGGTCCAGCACGTGCGACAAGTTTATGGAACAGCTACGAACCGGTGACGCGATGAAGAAACGTGGTCGTAAGAAAAAGGTCAGTTGCACTATAACCTCGAAGCTCGATGACGCTGGAAACGATAGCAGCAAAGAGTCGGACGCGAACACGTCTCAGATCAAACCTGAGGACATCAAAAAGGAGATTCAGGATGACGATTCGCCCATGGACAGCAAAGATGAGTCCCCAGAAGCGACGAAAGATGAGGAATCGTCGGAAATGAAGGATATCAAGGTTGAGGTGAAGACGGAGCCAGAGATGAGCAAGGACGACGAGGAGAAGAATTCCAGCGACGATTCGGACGAAGTACCATTGATTCGACGAACGAAGAAGAAGACGAAGAAGGACGACAGTGATTGCGAGGAGGAGATAATATGCAGGAAGAGAAGGGTGCGCAGAGGAAGCAGAATTAAATTGCAATCATCCAGTGGTAGCGAATCCTCGAGCGAGGAGAGCGATGGTAGCACGGAGTTTGGTCACGGTTCTTCCGTGGCTGACAGGCTGAGGGCTAGGAAACGGTGCGCCAACAGCAGCGCAGAATCCGAAGGGATGAAGCTTAGATCCAGAGACGCGACGCCGCAAAAATCTAAATCCGAGAAAGAATCCAAATCCTCCACTTCGAAGACTTCTTCCCAAAAAGGAAAACCGAAGCCTCTTTTCGGAGACGGCAGCGATTTTAGGCCTGGTTGGGAGGAGGAAGTTTACGTGTACAAGAAATCCTTGAGAATGCCACCTAGATTGATTACAGTGTCGAAACCGTCTAGGTTTCACAGGTTGTCTACCTCGCTGCCTGATTTGGATCCCGGCTCTCCAGCCTTGTCTGTCTCCATGGATAGTTCTGATGTGTATCTGAACAGGAAGAAGTTGGTTGACAGTGACGTGGAGTCCAATTACAGTTTTAGTACAACTGGGATTGGAATAGGAAGTAAGATCGATGATGAGGAAGCTACATCGTCCACGACCATTTCGTGTCCGCCCAAGGGTATGAAGCACTCGAAGTCGGAGAACAGTTCTATCGTTGATGTCTTGGCTCAGAAGGTTGGTACCAGTAAGAAGGAGCAGAAGAGGAAACAGAAAGAGAAGTTGGACAAAGGTGCAAATAAAACGCCGCAGAAAGGCACAAACGAACCTGAATTGCTCCCTACTCCGAGTCTGACACCTTTAGTGGAATCGTCCAAATCGCCGAAGGGTAAATCACCAGTCAAAGATAAGTCATTAAAAACTATCAAAATGACAGATTCGTTCCTGTTCGGTTTCCGCAAGGAAACTGTGAACAATTTCCGTGATACGTTTAAGAATAACCACGCTTTGCCGAACGAGTTCTCCACATTGGTGCTTAAAAGTAGGACGAGAACAGAGACTAGGGTATTGAAGAAACAGGCAACAATTAGAGAAGTTTTCGGCGAGGACAGGCCAGCTTCGGCACCACCTATGCAGAATCATGATGATACTTCTCAAGATGACGATTCTCAGAACGAAACACCAGAGAATAGGTTGAGTAAAGAAAGAACCTTGAAGCAGAAAGTGGTTTCGAGGCTGAAGAACGCTGGTATTTTGAGGAGTCACAAGGCGATCATAAACTCGAAGCATCATCTGTTGATGAAGAGGCGGAAGGACTTGTTGAAATCACTGGCTGAGAAGAAGCTGCGACATTTAAAGACTGAGACGGAAGAGGAACCGGTACAGGAGGAAACAAATGATGCGCAGGAGACGGAGAACAATGAGCTCGATGACGAGACCAATGAATCAGAACTTCCTAATAAGAAGAAGCTTAAACTGCGGACAAGCAGGCGGAAATTCCGCTCCGGATTCGATTACATTCGTAAGAAGAAAAAACCTTTGAAGAAGGATGAGACATTACCCAAGGAAAGAAAGAGGGTGAGTTTTTATAAAAGTATTTTTAGCTATATAAAAAGAGTATATTAAATATATTAATAATTTATATATAAAATTGACTGTATATTTAATTCTAGGTATTTTTGCTGAGTAAATAATTTTCAATGGATTCAATAGCGTGAATATTCATATCTTTTTTATTTACATTAGAATATTTGCTTTACAGCAAGTGTTAACGAGACCCAGTCCAGAGTGCGTAGCAGATATTCAGTCGGAAATTAGAACGTGGGTGATCAAAAAAGGTGTAGGTGAAACGATGCTGCATCGTGCCGCCAGACTTGGTTATACGGTAAATATTTATTGAAAAATAATTCACTCGTTGAAAATTCAATGGCCGCCCGATGTAAAATATTCATTGGTACAAACATTTGAATCTAAATTGCATTTTTGCATCGTGTTGGACACAGGATGTCACCGCGTATTGCTTGGAAAAGCTAAATAACGCGCCGAGTCCAAAGGACAACGCGGGTTATACGCCTCTTCACGAAGCGTGTTCCAAAGGCCATCTCGAAATTGCGAAATTGTTGCTCGCATACGGTGCGAATGCGAGTGAAAGTGCCAATGGTGGAATAAGGTGATCAACAAACTCGAATTTATAAATTTATTTCCTCTCTCTTCATTTTCTTTAAATTAAAATATACTGAAACACGATGTGCTTCATCACAGACCACTTCACGAGGCAGCTGAAAATGGTGCTACCGAACTCGTACGCCTGCTACTTTCCTATGGCGCTGATCCCTTATTAGCCACTTATTCCGGACAAACCCCGCTAATGCTAGCAGCAGATACCGATGCCTATTCGATCCTAGAACAACATTTAGACGATATCCAGGGTCGTGCGAGTACACCATGGTCTTTTGGCGGCCCGTCGTCTATTTTTGGTACGTCGTAATTTATAAGAATCTAACCTCTTCCCAGGTAACTTGTTTTCTTTAATATTTTCAATTCCATGTTTACATTTCGTCACTTTCTTTATCAATTCTTCTTTATATACATCTCTGGCAATAAAGAGTTTAAAATTAGAATTACCTTCAGTATAGTTTACTATTCGAATATATCAATTGAATAAATTAAAAGCAACTTATATCTTTTCAGACCTCGAAGAAACTGGTTACAATCCCCTCGACGATCCTCCTATGGACAGTCCAGAACCCGAACTAGATGAAATCGAGGTAGAGATGGGTGATGTGAATCTGCCAGTTCTCTTTACTCTCACCAACGATCCGGATAAATGGATGCTCCTCCAAGACTTGATGGCCGCTCTTCGAATAAAGAGTAGAGACGCGTTACTCCGTCAAATAAATCCGAAAGCTCACTCCGGTCCACCGGCCATTGCCCATCGTGACGTGATGAAAGAATTAAAACTTCAAGATTTTCTGGAACAATCTCGTTGCTGCCATTTGCTCAGTGGTGGCGAACGAATCAACGTGAGGGGGTCTAAGGTGACTCTGATCAAGTACAACGACAAAGTAAGATCTCTGTTGAACGTGGAGAAGGTGGTGATCAGCCTGAGGTGACAGGAGGCACCTCTGGGGCAGTCATCACCCCAGGCTAAACCGTCGACTTCCGCCTCGAGGGAACTTCCGAAAAAGAGCTCGAGCGTGTCGCCCAAGAGACAAGCCAGAACGCGACAGAGTAACAAGACAGCTGCCACGGATTGAACGTGAACCTGAAAATCTTGTTCGCTGTGAAAAGTCGCTCGTTTGAGCTGTTTCGAGTCTCTCGTTCGATAGAGGCCAGCTTTTTCCTCTTCGATTCCGCTCGACGAGGCAACTGGGGTCGAATACAAGGTGCGAAAACTAATTTAAGCTTACGATAGAGGAAGATCGTTCAATAACAGTGCTTTCTGACACTATTTAGCAGTATTTATTGACAAATGTTCTCTACACGGTGATATTTTTATGGATGATCGAGTCCTGAATAATGGTTTTTCAATATGAAGATTGTTATCTTGTTCAATGATATCATACTGTCCTGATCTTGTATAATAATTCGTTCAAACATTCAATTCGAAAGCGAAATAATATTTGAACGATCCTTGCGAATATTTTGGAATCTGATAGGCGTCCATACGCTTATTTTCATTCATTCGATTATTCGTATTGAAAGAATCGATACTCATTGTCGAAGAGAATTTGAAACTGTGAATGGTAACTGCGTGCGTTCTCGATTGAATCGATTATGATTGTTTCGTTAAGTTAACAGAGAACAAACGTTGAAAAATATAGTTATCGAATTATTAGTACGTTGTTAATTTCGTTTTTTCTCTGTCTTCCTTTCTTTCTCTCTCTTTTTTTTTTTTTTATTAGTAATAATAAGTCGATTAAAATATAATTCGGTTACGCGTTTACAAAGATTTAGATTTAAGCAAGCGTTTATTAATCGTCGAAATATGGAGCATTTACGTTTTTTTTTTTTCTTTTCTTGTTTTCTTGGGATGTGCAATTTCGCGAGTCCATTTCTTGTTAAATGATTACCGATTAAACGCGATCGATCAGCGCCCCTTAGGTCTGAGAAACGTAAGAAAATGGATCGACCGTGTAATAGACACAATGTGCAATAATTCTCATCGAATTCGCGATGATTGATCCTCGAATTAGCGATTTATTTTGCAAATAATATTCAATTGTTAGCTCGTTGGAACCGAGAAAGTAATCGACGCGTTCACTGTTTAGTTCTACTCTATTTCTATTTTTTTTTTTTATCATGTTCATCGTTATCACGTATCGTTACGTTGAAAATTTCTTTTTTTTGTTTGAAGTTTCATCTATCGGATTGGTGCAATCCAATTGATTAATTTTTGTTATCGATTTAATATAAGTGTTTCATTTTTATGTTTACTATATATGTATATATATATAAAAGAAAGAAGATAGAATGAATATGTTGAAGATTATCATGTTCAGCAGTGAACGTGTTCAAAGGATCATTGATGCATTTAAACTAGACTTTTTTCATTTACATGCGTCGATGGAACCGATCTCTACGTACTTATACCTTCGGAAGCGTGTCGAAGCATGTGTCGAAATAGAATGTTGAAAAATAAAAAAAATTTCTACTTGTATCATAGACACAAGCTTAAGTTGTTTAGCAAAAGCATGCTTACGCGCTTTCATTTTGACTCCGTGTACAGAGGATTAGTCGTTCTGATCAGTCTCAGGGAAATATCCGTACGCGTATTCTCGATAATCCTATGCGTTGCATCGATTCGAACAGGGATACGACCAGGCATCGTAAAAATATTCGATTGATCTGTAAAACGATCGTCAAGATATTGTTATTTCCTCATGATGTATAGTAGACAGAGAGAAAGAGAGACACCGTTTCGTCTTCGTACGTTGAACGATCGTTCCAGATCGAGATCGATCGATGACTGGTCGCTCGCTCGCTTCTCGTTTTTTTTTAATTTTATTTAGCTGACGATTTCTAAACGAATATTACCGATTAATGTCGTGGACGAGATGGTGTTTACACGTGTACATACATATTTTCGAATAAAAATCTAGCGTCATCTGCCGTATGTGTGCGTCGAAGAGTCCCGGGTTCTCTTGCAGATGGCAATTTCTGTGCATCATCCATCGTGGCTGTTTAAGAAAAAGAATGTTTGAAATGAGATTTAAAAAAGAAGAACATATGTAGAGGAGAGGGGAAATGATATAAAAGTTGATATAAAAGTAGATTGAAAGTGAGTCGAGGCAGAAAAGAAATAATTGTACGTGTAATGTACCTTTAAAATGTAAAGTAGATATTGAATAATAGTGTAAGTAGCCAGGAAGAACACGACACTTGTTCATAATTACTATAGTCGCGTATAATACACATTTGCGCACGTGTAATTGTATAAGGAAGGGAAAAAGAGAAAAAAAACCAGCGTTTTAGAATTAACTTGAGAAAGAATATTGTAATTTCAGCGAAGAAATAATCGAATAATATGCTGTTTAAAAGCGTATGTATATATTATACACAACACGACAGACACAAAAGATAAAAACACTTTCTCGCAATATAATAGGGGCTATCGCAGTTACTACCGCTACTAATTATTAATTACTATTACTATTATTACTACCGGTCACCGATTACTATTACGAATACTACGATTACCGCTATTACTATTACTATTTGCCACTACCAATACTATTAACTATTACTACTACTGTCACGACTATCCGCTTTTTTTATTGTACGATATATACATAATACCGAACTATGAATGTACATTTTCTTAGCTGTAACGTTTTCCTCCTCCTCCATTGTAATTTATACTATATTATATTCGAGGATACTTCTAAATGTGTTAAAAGAAAAAAAAAAAAAAACAAACCGCTGCTGCTTTACGAGAAGAAGGAATTTTATGTGAGAAAGAACAAAATATATTATATATATATAAATATATAAATATATATGTATATATATACGTACATATATATATATTTTATTTCAGAAGTTTAGTTTAATGGATATATAATGTTAAAGAAAAAAAAAAAAAAAAAATGCGAGAAAGAATACAAATTAAATTCTCTCTGTGATTCATCTAAAGAATGAAATTAAGGAAGTAAAAAAAAAGAAAAAAAAAAAAAAAAATGCGAGAAAGAATACAAATTAAATTCTCTCTGTGATTCATCTAAAGAATGAAATTAAGGAAGTAAAAAAAAAGAAAAAAAAAAAAAAAAATGCGAGAAAGAATACAAATTAAATTCTCTCTGTGATTCATCTAAAGAATGAAATTAAGGAAGTAAAAAAAAAGAAAAAAAAAAAAAAAAAAAAATGCGAGAAAGAATACAAATTAAATTCTCTCTGTGATTCGTCTAAAGAATGAAATTAAGGAAGTAAAACAAAAGAAAAAAAAAAAAAGAAAAACAAAAAAGAAGAAAGAGTTATGATTATATTGATTAATTAGTATTATTATTGTCATCGTCATTTATCATTGCTCTGTACCGTCAAATTTATTGAATAACAAGTCACAACCGACCGACAAACTCAATTTTCGTAATGAACTCGACTCGTGATTTTCTTTTCGCTAATAACAGTAACGAGTTATCCTATCGATGTAATAAAAACAAGTATTTTTACCGATATCAACGTCTTTTTGATTTCTTTACGAGCACCTGTCCTCCATTGTTAGCCACAAATCGTGAAAAATTTCTAATTTCAAAAATCAGGATAAATCAGATTTGAGGAGTCACATTCGAAGGGAAGAAAGGATGGATGGTTGTCTGAAACAGATTTAAAATTGGTAAAACGTTTATTAACTATTTAAAAACGATGAAACAAGGTGAACATGAGATTGACAATTCAATAAGTAATATTATTAAATAGACTATAGAGGTGTATAATAAGTGTCTGTAGTAATTATTCTCTTTATACGTTCCTTTACATCGAGACAGACGTCTTTTTTCCATCATCTTCTTTTCAAGATTTTCTCGATTTAACTTTCGGCGAATCCCAGCTCATTTCCGATCTTCTTTTCTCTTCAGGCACAACCTGTGCGATAATATTATTATATGACAACGATTTCTCGTTATTCGATTCATTCTTCAACTATCAATAATACGATTCCATTATATATTCATTCACTCTTCGTATTTTTTCTTTCGTAAATACGTGCGACGACTGTTGCGTTAACGATTTTAAACACAGGATTTATCGTAGGAAAAATAGCTCGTAGAAAGCGTACCCATGCTAATTATTATACCCGATCAACCGGTATGTCGTAAATATTTGTCGTTTGACACATTCTACGAATAAACGAAAAAAGGAAACGAAGAACGCAAAAATGGATCCTTCCACTCGTCAAATCGAAGGAAATCGAGCAATCGACGATGGCGAAACGATTCGATAATCGCTGCACGATCGATGACTGCCGAAACAAGTGGTTAGTAGGTTAATAACCATTGCGACGATACGCAGTTGTACGTATAAACTCTTCTCGCGTTTTCTAACCTTTCTTTGTTTCATTGTCTCGTAACCCTTGATACGATTCTCTTTTCTATATTTTCCACGATTTCTTCTATTCACTCGTATAAGTACTGTATGTAATCGACGAGCAATTATCTCGATTATATCGCATTCTCTCGTCTATACCAAATTTATCGATTCAACGCGACGACATGATGTAATCGAAAAGATGCCATTCAATGATTTGTTTTCTCGTGATATTTTCGTTATCCGACCGCCTTTGTGAAAGTGGTTCGATACAAGGCGTTTTCGTTGGTCTGGGTGGAGTGAAACCTGTTTTACATTTATCGTCAAGGTGATACGTATTTCACGATGTTACACGATTCTTTGCGATATTGTCTTAAAACCTGTCCAGTTTTCCTTACTACACACGCATGTATACACATTTAGTTTTCTATGGATTGGCATCGACCAATCGTAGAAAGCGAAATGCAAAAGTAACGGTTTTCTTGCATCGAATTTAAACAAACGTCGTTACGTCATATATCTGTGGCTCGACACGATCAAGAAAATACTACGACCGAACTTCGTCCATGGTTTCACGCTACCACCATATACCATCTCGATTATCTCGGGTATAGGTATTTACAATAATATATATATATATATACCTACTATATCGTAATAATAATTTAGTAGTGGTATTTAAATTACAATAGCGTTCATTCTTTTTCTCGCGATCTCGTTTCTCCCTTTCTCTCGCGCGCGTTTTCTATTTATATATATATATATATATTTATATGTATATATATATATAATGTTGCACATAACCCAGTACTGGCTTAGTAATCTAGCTGTACAAAACATTATATACCGCTATTCTAGCATCTAGAGATTTGTCCTGTGAGGTTTGATGAATCGTGAGGTTCGTAATATGCGTCTGGATCTTGTTCTTTTTCTCTATTTTGTTTTTTCCTTTCTATTTTCTCTTTCTTTTTCTCACAAAAAATTTTAATTCTCGCTTTTCTAGTTTCCTTTTATATTATCTTTTCATTTGTCCTGCTAGTACATTTTACGTACGAGTTTCGCTTTGTCAGACAACGAATCTTCCCGATTCCCCCCTCTGTCTCTTGTTCGCTTCTTATTGCGATTAAGTACATTAAAAAATACCGTGCTACTTCGCTCAGAATTAACCGGACCAAGCTATACATATATTAATATGTTCGGTGAAGCCAAGTATTATTTTTTATTGATTTTTTTTTATTTCCGTTTACTTTATTTTCTCAGCGTATCTCGTACTTTGTCTTGTTTCATTGTCATTTAATCGTCGCGATTTGCGCGTGAAAAAATTCTTTGTTTATAAGCGTCTAACGTGCTGTGCGCGTCTTACAAACAATCGCGACGAATATCTATCTTAAACATCTATTATCTTTTTTATTTTATTTTACTTTATTTTATTTTATTTTCGTTTTGTCGCTCGTTCTTCTTTTTCGTTTCACCTTTTTCGACTTCAACCGAGTGTCGATCATTCGTTTGTTATTCGTCTTTCTTTTTCTCTCTCTCTCATGTTTCCAAATTTCCCGTGAACTGTATACATACAATGTAACATACACATTACGCATCGCAGTTCGCGATCAGTCGAAGAAGAACTACGACGCGAGTCTTTCGGTAAAACTCCTCAACATGTCGGCTTCGTCGTGCCGAGTCGAGTTGTCGTCAATACATTAAAATCATTTCTGATACGAATACACGATCATGTGCTCTTTTGATTTTATAACGAAAACCAGGATTAGTGTTTAGTGTTATAAAACGACTACGTGTTCAATATTTTCGTCGCAATAAAGAGAATCAATTCAATAATCGAAATATCGTGTATTCGTTCCTGACATTCTACAACACAATGATAAAATTCAACGTGAAGATACGCATACACGACGATGCTTTTTTCACATTTTACTCAACAAATCCACTCGTCACATGGAAACCATGAGAAAACATCGTGATACGACGAAATACTTCTGATATTAACGCTATAACATGTATGTATGTATCCTCTGCCTAACAATCTTTCTTAAAAACGTAAATATTCAGATATCTCTCATCGAAACGGATAACAATTATAGAACACGCCATCATTTTATCGTTTTATCGTTTTATCAACAATAATTTTATCGATTAACAATGAAACATTTTGTCACGGCGTGAACGATCGCGGAGAGACTCTGAATATTCTTTTTCGAAACATATTCCGTTATTATTATTAATATTATTATTATTATTCTTTCTTTAATCCTCTCCTTAATCTAATAATCGCCTCCCAGTGAAGCTTGCAGACATATTATTCCTCCTCGTATTACTTTCAGCGTTTTACACGATACAAAGTCTTTTCTTTTCGACGAGCTTGGTGCGCGGCTAATGCCTTAACTGGGACATTGTGCTACTCGATTGGGTATGTAATAGGGGTGGAGTGAGGTGGGACGGGTTCAGGATGGGAACGGGGAAGGCATTAGAGAGTTACTCGGTTATTTTTATTAAGAGTAATTAAGCTTGACGCCTCGGAGGTAGGGTCCAAGCGTTTGGACCGGGCTGAGCGTGGGGGGCAGGACGTCACAGTTGCTGGTCTCTGCACGGTACCCAAATGTTCGGGCCTGATTGCTCGGCGATCACCTCCTTTACCTTCACGTATATCTCCTCCGGTGTGTCGCCTTGCACCACGGCTGTAATTTTAAGGAGAATTTAATTTCAAGCAATTTAATTTTCCCTCATCAGTAATTTATTTAATTATGAATATTATAGTTATCAATTGATTGAGGTGGCAAGTAAATTAGCTGTGTGATATAATTCAGCGTTTCTTGATCTTCTTGTCTCTTGGCATAATGTACTGATTTGTATCGTGACCTAAATTAATTTTGTAATTTAAAATTATTAAAAATTTGATAGATTAGATCTTATTATTGAATATATTATATAAAAAATTGGATTGCATTCTTGAAAGTATCTTAAATATTAAATATTATTAAGATTTCAAGAATCAAAATTAAGTTTTAGGATGAGCAAACAATTGAATGATTATTATGTTCACATAGAGGAAGTTAGAAAAGATATTTCTATTACATATTCTAGAGATTATACGTATTTAAATTTTGTGAATGCAAATATGAATTTTTAATATCGAATAAATTATATATAGATTGAAAAATTTATTTATTATTTTAGATTATTTACCAGTAAAGTATTCTCCGAACTCTTGCTCCATTTTCAGTGCTCGTTCATATGTTTTTTTCGCTTGTTCTTCGGTCATCCTCTTGTTCATTTCCCTTCGAATATCAATAATTGCTCGTTAAATTATACTCGAAATTTCCAAATCAAATAAAAAAATTGTCACTTACATAACTGATTCCACGGATTTTGGTTTAATGAAGATGGCGATGGGATACAGCTGCGCCACTTGTAACCTCTTGATGGCGTTTCCACTCACGTCGAGAATACAGTGTTTTCCCTTAATTAACAGATTATTTTTATCAATTTATGATATTGAATATTTTTATTCGTATTTATAGGACTGTTTATTAAGATTCTTTTTTTACTTTTTCAGCGACTTCTCGCACGGACGCCACAGACGTGCCATAAAGATTGTCATTGTACTGTCCGGCCTCTATGAACAAATGATTTTGAATGTCCCTCTCCATCTGTTCCCTAGATGCGACGAAATGATAATCACGTCCATCCACTTCGTACTCTCTTCTACTCCTCGTTGTATCTGTGGAAATGAAAAACGTTTAACATTCTCTTTTTAATAAAATAATTTAGAATAATTTCATTTCTATGTAACAAATTTAATTTTTTGTTTCAGGATATTTCTTAAAATTATTCTTAAGGTTTTCAAAAATATTGTAATGATTTATATCTATTATATAAAGTTTAATTATAAGGTAACCATGTGTTTTAACTTGAATTTATGAATCTTTCTTTTATTTATTTATTTTAACATTTCTTTTTTCTTTCAGGTAAAAATCTCTTGGCTTCAAATAATTAATTTAATTTAATTTCAAAGTATAATATGATAATATGAATTACTCTTAGAGAGAATCAGGTACACTTTTAGAATAGAGAATACTTTTTAATTGACATTGAATATTCAAAACACACGATCATCTTACTAATCATTAAAACAATTATTCTTTAAATTATCATATTTATATATATCTCTAATAACACATTATATTTAACTTCGTTATCTCATCCAAAGCAAAATATAGCCACCAGACAGACAGATGTAACGAGAGAACAAGCTGCTTTGTTGTTTCCAACATAACACGAAAATCCTCTGAAAATCTCAGGATCTAGCCCCATGTAACGCGTGACCCAAATCAGAGGTAGAGATAGATTAAAATCCATTTCAACTTACGTGGCACACAGCTGCCGAATTTGTCGGGGAATTCCGAGATGAGGTCGTCGTTGATGCGATCCTTGAGAGGACCGAGGATAATGACAGGTCGTGTGTACTGTATGGTGAGCTGCTGGACTGCCTCGTACGACAGCACATTTTCTTCGCTGCCTGCAATTTTCGGTATAAGTATACTCGTGTTTCCAAGATATTTTTGAACATTGTGAAAGCTTTTGTTATCCTCGGGTTAGAAAATGTTTTTTTTTTTGCACTCTTTCAAACAGCTAAGGGATACAAACGTTTCTCTATCGATCTGGTCGAGAGAGAATTAACAAATTGGTATTCTCGAAATTTTTGTTCTCAAGAGAATAGGTAGATTGTATTATTTCTTGTACATTCTGATTAGAAATCACGTATACAGAAACGCGACCAGGGATTATTATTATTATTAATATGTTTGCTGTCCACCTCGATGGAGAAATGATTCATGCTTTAGCATCTAGGAGATTGAAGCAAGGTTTAAAGGAGTAAAAGGGGTTGGTAAAGCTTCTAAAGAAATTTAGATCGAAGAGTGTATCAAATTCGACGTGGCATTATTAGTTACGTGGCGACTATGCTATTATACGATAGGGTTTTTGTAATACTCGATTCTACGTGGTTGTAACGATTTTAATTACACCAAAAAGCGTCGCTTCTTCACTTTTTCACTTGAATTCTTTCTTTTTTCTTTTTTCTTTAGTAATTATTTAGTTCATTTCTTTCAATTTTAATAATATCGATCACATAAGAGAATAATTTAAAACGATATTGTCATAATCGAAAGAAAATACTTAACTAAACATTTATTTCATAAAAATTTGGCAAAGATCTTTTCAATATGAGTTTTTTAATTTTAAAAAAAAACTTTATAGAAGCGACGCGATTTCATATTTATGCAATGTAACTGCGACTCTCGTTAAAAGTCTACATGAGGGTGAATAGTGTTATATATATAAAGAAACCAAGAAAAAAACGGCAGACAACAGACAAGATAAAGCACGTCGCGACTGTCCCAATTGCGCGAAGCGTTTTCGGCGTTTTGTCAGTGCTCAGTAGATATTATAATAGTATAGGAAATTGGTGAAAATTAAAAAAAAAAAAAGAAAAAAAAGTTAAAATTAAACGTAAAAGAAAATATTTTATATCGATCGAAACAATGTTCGATATCAAGTGTTAGTCAAGGACCTAAGAAATTGGTATAATATTGGTATTTGTTGTTCACTCTTGTTTTCTTTTTCCACACACTTTGACATATGTATATATGTATGTATTTTTTTTTTTTTCTTTTCGTGTATTGTGTATCACTTACTAAACTCGTCATTATTGTCATCGTCCTCCTTTTCCAGATAAACTAACGTCAGTTCCTCCATATAAGGCAGTTCGACGCGATATAAAATTTCTCTACTCCCTGCGACGCAAGACAAGATCTTTTTGTGAATGAAAAAGGTGGAGTAAGCGCGCGATGAGATGAGATAGGAGACGAAGAATGAACGCGTTCTAAGACGAATATCGTGATATATCGTTTTATGAGTTATATTAGGCCTCGAAGACGCTCGAGCGAAGCTTTTAACGAAAGCTGGAGGACGTTTTTATTCTGTCGAATACTGTTGCTTTTTTTTTTTTTTTTCTCGTTATATGATCGATGAACGAAGGTCTCGCCATTGAATAAATGTTATGGATGTTCGATGATTCATGTAAGTGTTAATACGAAGGAATGATATAGTATTAATTTTAAAACGAATATTAAATTTTTAAATAGAAATAAATGTAAATTTTGAAACGTTGAGTGACTCAACTAGTGACGTGTCTCCAATTTTGTCTTGAATAATTGTTTCTCGTCACTTTTATTAAAATCTAATATTTCTCTTCGCGTTGACATCTTCAAATAAATACACGAAGATTACGATTATTATAAACTTCAGAAAAAAAACCACAAATATTATTTTCGATGCTAATAAACAAACACGATGATAAATGAAGCTATCATAATTTTTAGAGATACGTCACCAGTCGAAGCTAAAACGTAAAATC